CCCGCCCCGGCTCGGCGCCCCGGGCTCTGGCCGCTGGGGGGGCGGGTTACGGACGGGAGCGCGCCCTGAGCGCGGAGGTAATGGAGCCGTCCTGGCGGGGCGAACGGCGGGGAGGACCGGGAGCCGGCGCTTGAAATGAGCAGGCCTCCCGGTTTGCCTCCGCGGCGTGCCGGGCGCCGGTCTCGGCTCCTCGGGTCCGAAAACAAATGAAATATCCGGTTGGTCCTCAGGGGTGCCGTAGACTCGTGGTGTAGAGAAAGCATTGGGACGGATTCACGTAACCGCTGTTCATCAGGTGCCCGGAATGTGCTAGGCCCCGGGCGGTGGGGGGAGTACCGGGTGCACGGACGGTAGCCTGGAGCGCCTGCCGGGAGATGAGGGGCCTCGGGGGCAGGGAAGGAAGAGCAGAGGACTGTGTGCGCCTGAGCCCGGTCCCCTGGATGTTTGCGAAGCGCACGGACTGGGCGGCGGTAGTCCAGGAAGTGGGGCTAACCTGTTCCGAAGGCCAAGACGCTGGAAGAGTGGCCAGAGTTTGGACCGCGGGACCCTCCCTGGGCATGACTGCAGTTTCCAGCGCTCAGTGGAGAGCGGGGGCCAGGAGATGGGCAGGGGCCTGGCCGGGAGGGCGCCGTGAGCCACCTTGAGAAGTTTGTATTCTGTAGGCGTTGTGAGGACCGTGAGCAGGAAGCCGCATGATGATGATTGGAGGACAGAAGCAGAGGGGAGTGAAGTGCGGTTCAGAGCACCAGGAGAGAGCCTCCTCCCTGCGTGTGAGTGAACACCCTGGGGAGAAGGAGATCCTTGTACTCCTACAGGATACTGAATATTTGGTAGGATCTGGCCTTTCACAAGTTACGGAAAAGGATATCCGTTAAGATGCTTTTGTGTCTGGAAGTAACATAATACAGCTCAAGCTGGCTTAAAACTGTGCAAGTGTGTAAGCTCTCATAATTGGAAGTCAGGCAGGAAAGTGTTTCGGGACTGAGTCTTGTGGCCCACGGTCCCTCGATTTCTATTAGCTCTCCCTGATGTCGTCCACGAGCTGGTGGAGAAACGGCAACGCCATATAGAAGTCTGTTCCGCTGCTTCTGTCAGGATGGTAGGAACTATTCCCGGAGGCTCCCACAGAACTTGCTCAGAGTATCACTGACCCAGATGAAGGCGTGTGTCCATTCCTGGACCAGTCCCTGCTGTTCTCAACAGTCACTTGCAAGGGAGGTGGTCTTGCTGTCTGGGTTAGCTCAGCTCGGGCTCGCTCCTGGAGCTCTTAGGGGAGCTCAGATCTCCTGCAGAGCCTGCAAGGCCCCTGCCCACTTCTTTGCTCAAATGCTCCGTAAAATGGTTTGAGAAGCTTTGTATCCCCATACCTACGCGTCAGTCGACTTCCAAAATGTTTCATCATAAATTTGAATAGTTGCAAAGGAATTTTGAGTGTATTACGAATTTTGGCATTTCAAAATGAAACCTTGGGGCCACGTTCTGGGATCCCTGCCCCGAGATTCCGTGTGCTCACCACACTCCCTGCCCTCTCTGTAACCTCCATCTGGTCGCGGCCCACGCCTCCCTCCCGTCCCCACTCCATTTGCCTCCTGTCCTGCTCTCCCATCTCCACTGCGTCCTGGCTGACATCCTCAAGTCCCTCACACCTTCATTCTTCCACCGCCATATCCAGGCTGTGAGGAGTGGAGTGTTTCCCCGTGAGCGTGAGGTCTGACGTGAGCCTGCGCCTCTGGGAAAGTCAGCCCAGTGGATGTCCGCTCTGGCTGGCACGTGAGGAGCTGCCGGAAAGGAACACAGCAATATTATTCCACAAATGACATTCATGTCGTGTCACTGGCAGAAGGCGAGTGGAAGAAGGGTCAGAGGAGGTCACGTTTCGTTGGGGGAGACTTTCTGGATTTGAATTTTGAACCAGGTGTTGAAGTTGGGGGCAGATACGCTTGCCCTGTTGTGCCGCGGACAAGTGCGTTTCCGTGCGGTTCTGTGAATTCTGACTTGGTGAGGCGCCCGACGGTGGGCAAGCTGTAGGAGAGATGCAGGTGCGACGGGGACCGGAGGGGGTAGGGAGTAGACAGGGAGCGAAAAGTAGCAGCTGTGGGACTGGTGTGTGGAAGAACGTTAGCGAGACATTTATTTAAGGCTGCACTTCCCAGTTCCGATGGCACCACGAACGAAGAGCATAGCTGAATCCCCCGCTGTGGATCCTTACTCCTTTGTAATTTGCAAAAATTTCAATGAAAAGGAGAAATCCAGCTTTTGGGGGCCTACCCTTATTCCATGGGATGGTCAGAGCCCAGGCTGGGGGGGAGTTGAAGATTGCAGGTTTTTTTAGGGGAGCACCAGAGATTCCGGGACTCAGGGATCCTGTGAGGAGATCAGGCTCCTTCCAGGTGTCTGGGGGTGGGTAGTGCTGGTGACCTCCGTCCTGTGGAGGTCACCCGACATCACCACTCTCCCCTTACCTGCGCACGCGGCCCCAGGCCCTCCTGCCCATGAGCGTCTTCGTTTCCTCACTGATTGCGTCTCTCCTTCCCTCCAAACCTGTCTCTCCTCTGCCGCCAGTGCCGTGCCTTCTAATACGAACATGTCGCGGGCGCTCCCGTCAGGGAAGATCCTTAGACCTTTCATCCAGACTCTTTGGAAGCAGCAGATTTGTTCATCCGTCTGCCACCACCTGGCTCCACTTCCGTTCCACTTCTCACAGGGCCCCTGTGACCCCTGACTGTCCCCGTAGGCATTTTCCAGGGGCCCTGGGTCATTCTGGGTGCCGTGGCCCCGGTGACTCGGTCACTGACCATCCCTTCTCTTGTCGGCAGGCTTCCCTTCCTCCTCCCACCCCTCTCATTAGGGTCCAGACAGGAAGCTGCCTGCTCAAATTAGGATCATCGAGGGAGGTTTCCTTGCAAAGAGGCTAATTACCGACGATCCAGGTGTGGGCGGGGTGTTGAGCCCGGGCCTGAGGAGACCCAAGGCGTGAGACCACTGGCTCGGACAGACTCCCCGAGAGGAGTATCGGCCTTCAGTGGAGGGACACCGCCAGCCCAGGCAGCCTCACCAAGGGAGGAAGGAACCAAGGGAGCAAATACCCCGGCCTGACTCCCCCTCCTCCTGGTCCCCCACTGGGGCTCCCCATGGCCGGAGCCAGAGGCCGGGGGCCTGTGGGTGTCTGCCGCGGAGCGTAGCCTCCTGGGGCGGAGAGCGGGGCGGAGAAAGGCAGGAAGATCTGGAGGGAAGGCCTCAAGATAGCGGCAGAGCTTACGCGTCAGCCTTGGCTTTCTGGGTGTCTGGCCCCGTGTCCAGCAGCTCTCCCACGGTCCTCCTACCACCTGCGCTGTGTCCTGTGCAGGCTGTGTCTCTGGTCCTGGTCAGCGTAAGCTTCAGACTGTGACATTTTACCTGATTCCTTGATACTCTGGATGGATGCCTGGAAACTTGTCTTGTACAAAACACAGTTGACGGTCCTCTCGCGTCCTGACCGAGCTGCTGCTCCCGTACCCCCGGCCTCTGGCCCCCCTGCTCATCTGATTGCATACGGGGAGATCCGCGTGCCGTCCGTGACCCCGCCCTCCTCCTCTCCCCGTGTCCGGTCCCAGCAGCTCTAGCCAAGGCTCACAGGGTTTGACCCCTGAACTGTTTCTACAGCTGTCGCCTCTTCATTCCCTCTACTGTTGTTGCCCTGGTCAGAGCTCACGCCCCTTGCCCTGGTGTGTCCCGGCCTGCAAAGTGGCCGCAGAAACGCTCATCTGGCCACGCACTGTGGCACTCCTTGGCTTAGAAACCGTAAAGGCCCGTCGCTGCCCGTTTCCGCCCTGAGAGTCACCTGACACAACGATCACTTCTACCGGACGAGGATCGTATTCCTCAGATTGGCTGCAGTGCCCTGGACGGAAGCCAGGCTTCTCCTAGCATCGGCCCTGCTTCTGTGACGGGGATAGCTAAATCCCCAGGGCCACCGTGCCAGTTAGGACTAAGTTTGGCTTCCTAAAAACAAGACAAAAAACCACAATGGCTTAAGCAAGGCAAAGGCGTATTTCTCTTTTAGATGAAAAAGTCCAGGGGCACCTGGGTGGCTCAGTTGGTTGAGCGTCTGCCTTCGGCTCAGGTCATGATCTCAGCGTCCTGGGATTGAGCCCCGCATCCCCTGCATCGGGCTCCCTGCTCAGCAGGGAGTCTGCTTCTCCCTCTGCGCCCCCCCAACCCACTCGTGTCTCTTTCTCAAATAAATAAAATCTTTAAAAAAAAGTCCAGAGGCAGGCCTTCCAGGGCTGGGATGGCAGCTCCATGGAGTCGCCAGGGACCCAGGTTCCTTCCAGCTCTGGCCCCATCCTGGGGTCTGCAGGGGACACTGCTGTGCTCACGGTCCAAGGTGGCACCGCGAGCCACCCGTCGCCCCAGGCCCAGCATGGAAAAGAGTGAAGGCATTCCCTCGCCCTCCGGAGACTTCCCAGACATCCCACACACTTCGTCTGCATTTTTCTGTCTCACCGGCCAGAGTTTGGTCATGTGGCCAAACCCAGCCGCAGAGAAAGCTGAGGAATGTACTTCTTTAGCCAGGTTCCTTTTTTTTTTTTT